TGCAGCTTATAGCTTGCCACTACCTGAGCAACACTGAACACGTCAACCTCTCTGCCCAGGTACCTCAATCAAGACCTGAGTGAGCCACAAACTGGGAGCTTGTCAGCCCAGCAATGCATTCTCATTGCATGGTAGGACAGTGACTAGCAAAATGTTTGTGGTGCTGCTGTATGTGAAAAACAAAAGGTGAGTAAGGATTTTTCAAAATGCTTGCAACAAAATGGAAACTCCCAGGGAAGTTGAGAGAAGGCAGTATTCACCTTCACTGAATTTCTTTGAAAACCCTCCTAAGCAGATCACTCTGCTCCCTGCTTCTTTGTTTCATGTCCTGTGATGATAGACTTTTAGTGTGGTTTCAATCAAGTTTACTTTGTTCCTCTCTTAAAAAAGTGTTTATCGAATAACACATGCTGAAACACTCTTTGCCAGGAAGGTTCATAGACTGTGTCAGATGCCTTTAACTCTTTGCCATCCTGCTGTGAGACAAAAACAGGCCTAGGGACAGATCAAGTTTGCCAATGAGTGTTTGTCTCTAATCTGAGAGATAAGGACATTTTGTAGGCACTGATGTTTCTCACACCCATACATGTAATTTCCAATCATAGAAATTGTTCTTCTTCTCAGGTTTCTGGTCTAGTAAAACAAAGCAGACAGTGTGGAGGGTGTTAAAAAGGGGAGCAAACAAAGTGGTGTTTTAGAAGCTGTTTAATATTTTAAGCTATAACTTCAAAAGGGCTGTGATAATATTTAAAAAGATAATGCTTGGATGCATAGTTGGAAATGCTGTAATCTTGTCAAGCCCATAATGTTTTAGCAGAAAGACCCTTTATATCCATGCACAGGAAGACATCGGTTCAGCATGTAATTAACTAGAGCAAGAACTGAGACGGTAGGGTGAGAAACAGCAGCGGGTGCTCCAGGAAAAGGAAATCTAAAGCCTCTGGATGGAGGGAGACTTCTCTACGAGGTAAAGGTCAGCTTTCTCTTCATCCCTGCTCCCACCTTGCTCCATGCTGAATCAGAGTGATGGATTTAAGGAGAAGCACAAATTACATGGGCCAGATGTCATCTGCTACTGCTTTGTCCCAAGTCTCCCTGGAATACAGTTTTCCACTACCATCTGCCATTTGCTGGATTTTAACATCTGTCTTTCCCTAAAATTAACTCTCCCAAAGCCCCCTGACATAAGGATCAATGAAAATGGTGCACTGGAGTTTTTACAAGCACCAAACTTCAAAATCTTTCTCCCTCATGTAAAGCCAAATTTTTTTCTTTCCTTGTTTTCTCCTGGCTTGCTCCTCCTGAAGTAAGAAGAAAGACTTGGTTAAGTCAGATTAATCTACAATCTGCACATTAATCTACAATCATTTTCATGTCAACTTGGTACAGTAGTTTCTTCTCTTTGGCTTTGCACAAAGAGTCTTGGCATGACCCTGACACTTGACACAGAAATTGCCTTTGCCATTTTAAATGGGGCTATTCTCTTTCAAACTTCTAGGTTTTCTTTGTAATTCCCCTAAACTTTGTAGGGGCAGTAAGAAGGATATTTGCATGAGAGTTACCTCTCAAGGTAGATACAAATCCCAGACCTCTCTGGGCCTTGAAGGCTTCACTCAGCAGTACAACAAATAAAATGCTTTCCCTCTTGGACTTGGGACAAATATGCTGCCTTTCAGGACATGGCAATGACTTCATCATGTAAGCCTTCTGTTTAAAAAACATGACATATCTATATGTTTGTGTCTGTGACAAATGCAACTTATGCCCCATATGCATATATTTTTGCATATGGGAAAAATGCAAATGTAATATTTAGTCTGAAATGTAATAATTATTCTGAAAAGTGAAGTGAATTGAGTGCAGGTTTTGATCTTTCTCACTTTTAACCTTCACAACTTAAAGGGAAGCCACCAAAGACAAGTGTTGACTGTACACTAAGCAATCTGTTTGGTAAAAAAACAACACAGCACACTGATCTATTACTCAAATTGCAGTGGCTTCAAAGTAATTTATTTAATCAGCTATAGTCTGGTTTCTATCTATGGCAACATTTATAAAGGGATTAAGTTAATCAATTGGTCCTTACAAGATACAATTCCTTAATTCTCAACATATAAATTTACTTGGGCATGCACAGTTTAGGAGTTAGCATAAACCTGGAGCAAACTTTCTGTACCACACAGTACGCTTTCACACACAGTAAGCAGCACAGGCTGAAGCTGGGCTTAAGCACAGCAGGACAGTGTGAGCCCTGAGTTTGACTTATCTGGAGTGAATATTATCTTGGATGTAACCACACGTTACTGTGTAGAGAAGTGACTGAGGCTAAATCATTAACAGTTCTCAGATGCCTAAGATCTATAAAAGTGAAATCACCCTTCACTTCCACTTTATCATCAGTTCTTATTTCATCTGAAAGTAGTATCAGGGTTGGAAGCAAAATCTGAAAAAAACCTTAATGTAAACAATTGAATATGAAACCCCATAGAACTAAAATGGTACAAATGTCTTTGATTGTATATTAGTTTTACAGATTTTCATGGTCTTCTGAAGAAGATATGGAACATACAGATGTGATAACTATGTCATCTTTAAGGCAACAGGCCTTCATGGTACTGATAATCACGCTCACCTTAATCTCTTTACAGAGAGGGTTTTGTATGGGAAGGTACTGTGATATGACTTACCTGGTCATCTCCACTGTCTTGTTTCTCTCCTTTGCAGCACAGTCACACCTCCTTCCCAGCAGACTCATCCTTGCCTCTGCAGGCAGCATCTGCCCCACACCTATGACGAATAAAAACACATAGGAAGGTAATAGTCATACATACATGCATGTAGGTGCATGTGTGTGTGTGTGTGTATGTGTATGTGTTGTATGTACCTGGTTTTTGTTAGATCTTCTCCTGTTTTCTTATCTGTCAAAGCTGCACCGCTTGTCTTCTAATGCACTAGCCTGGAAACTTTTAGACACATTCTTGTCTTTAATTACAGGAGTAGTTTGCCAACAACTACTTCTCCTAAGATGGGAATAGTCTTGTACATAGGAAGGGAATTAATGTGTAGATTTTTTATTAACTCTTTTCCAACTATTATTGTGAAATAACTGAGTAGGAAGGGTTAGAAAGCTGGCAGAAGTCCCAACCCTCTTAAAAGCAGGACAACAACTATAAGCATCTAAAAGATCCGGTTTGAGAGTAAATCCTCCATCACACTGGTAATGCAACAGCCATTCTGTAAAGACTGGGATAAATATGCTGCCATAGTTAAATGCTTCACGGCATCACGTGGTAGCCCTGGATGACCAGGGTTGGATATGTAATCTTGCTGAGTGTAAGAGTCTGCTTTCCTTTTGAGTAAACTGATCCTGTAATATTCCCAAAGCAACCTTGGGATCTGATGGCTAGAACAAAAAATTATTTCCTCACCCTCAGGGAATACTTTAGTGCTATAAATGACTGACTCACTTTTTCAATCAGGAAAATAAAAAGGAAGTCTTGAGCTGAGTTTCGAAAACATATTTCTGATTTGAGCATTGTGTTTCATGAGCCTACTATTGTCATCTCATTTTGACTTTTCTGAGTGCATGGAAAAATATGGCATAACCTGTGTTTCTAAGTAAAAGGCATTTCAGTGGAAAATAGAGGGTTTTTATTTAAAATTCACTGCAACAGAGTGGTCTTGGCAATGATGGAGATGGGGAAATCATAAAAGTCAAGTTTGGGGGTTGTACGGTTTGGAGGAGGGGTGTTGTTTTTTATTTTGCTTTTGTTTGCTTGTTTTCTTTTCAGTTAGAAATATTAATCTTGACCCAAAAAAATCTTAGGAGCCTATGCTTAATTTTTCAGCAGTGATTTAAGCATTTCTGAGCTTGAAGATTGGACTCTCACCTAAACACAGGTGACTTACACTCTGTAGAGTAATGAATGTGCTTATCTCTCCCAGACATTGATGGGGAAGGCTCAGTTCTTTCAGGTGGTGCCTTTAGAGCATTTAACATGCTTGGCATTTTGTAGAACTGCATAGGATATGTAAAGGATCCAAGGGTGTTGCACAGTTTGCAGGGCTGTCAATTAGCACTTTGTCCCTTTGGCCTTCTGTACAATATGCTATTTATGAAAGGAACCTTGACTAATTTAAAGTATGCTCTGCACATTGGTGCTTTTAAATTGCAGTCGCTGAGCAGGGGAAAAGAGGAGAAGATAACCTCAACTGTGAGCAATCATAGTTTTTAAATGTGTTTTAATAAAAAGGCATAGACAAAAGCATTTTTGCTGCAAATGAATACTAAGAGAGGGGCAGTTCCCACCACTGAGTAGAGTATTTCTGCCAGAGCTTTTCCAATGTTAAGCATGTTTGTATATTTTTATTTATATTTTCTTAGTTGAAATAACAGCTTCATCCAAAGGTATAGGAGAGACTGGTCTCTACTGGCAAACAACTTGCAGATATGGAAAACTGCTTGCCTGGCCCCATAAATACCATGCTTGTGTAACCAGTTGTGTCCAGATACATATACAAACACTGCAGTCATTGCTCAACCTCAGTGCTGGAGTGTCCATCAGTTTTCATGTTTACGGTGCTGCTCCCAGACACACTGCCCTTTTATCCTCAGCTCTCCCCTGGGTCCCTGATGTCATCAGTCTTGCTCCCTCCCCTTGCCATTTTCTTTGTGCCTCTAGACACGGCAGCTACAGCTCACCTTTTGGCTTTCTGTGCCAAAGCTTTTGAATCCTCCCCTACTTCTTTGAGAGCACCAGCATCTCTTGGTCCTCTGGCAGGAATGGTGCCTCAGCCTTGAGGTGCTGCCAGTCTCCCCTGCATTCTAATGCCTCTCCTTCAGCCTCTGCAACTTGTGAAAGAGGAAGGAGACAGAATTAGAATCCACTGGTGGGTCAGGGAGTGGTGATGCTATTCCCCAGCCTCCCAGAGGGCGCCTCAGTGCGGCGTTGCCATAGCGACAGCTCCCGCAGCTCCCTAGATAAGACGGGCAAGACCATCAGCTGCAGACCTAGCCCAGAAAACTCCTCCAGCGAGCCTCGACACTAAACCGCACCTTCCCCACCACCTCACAGTGCTCCGTAAGTACTTCAGCCACATTCTCACACACTTCTCTCTCCTGGCTGGTTGGCTTGGTTGGCTTCTTTATTTTAATCTCTCTCTCTCTCTTTTTTTTTTTTTTTTTTTTTTTTTTAAGTCACCACCAGCATGGAAAATTGCCTTGTCACCTCTGGGGCTATGGGGAATGGGGACTAGCAAGAAAGCACAGGGTCTCACTCCACAGGCAGTGGTCTGGGGATGGTCCCATTTGGAGAAAGTTGGGATGTGACTGCGCTGAGGCTGGAATGCAGCCTGGATGGGGTCATGGTGGGGAGAGTACTTTAGAGAAAACTGCTTCAACTAACTTTAACTGGTGGGACAGTTCACAGGAAGCCAACATAAGCCAACAGAGGGGGAATTGGTATCAGGACTTCTTATCCCACTACTAAGGTTGGCATGTGCAAGGGGTTATTTGTACTTTAGGAACTAGTTAAGGAAGACTTTGTATTTTTTATTATTTCCAAAGGCAAAAACTTTGTGACCAGAACCTGTGCAAATGTGTATCACATTTTTTCAGTCAATCAGAAGTTTAGCTGCTTGTTATTTTTATTTATTTTACGCCTTTATGGGCGGTAGTGGGAATCAGTCCACAGCTCAGCCAGGGTGCCCAGAAGAACACTCTCTGTGAGAAGAAACTGGTCCCAGACAATTCTATGGTATTTCTGTATCCATGTTATTGTTAGCAGCAAATTTTTGGGGTGGAAGGAGGCACTAAGATCCAGCTTTCCAATATCCAAGTGTTTGCTAAGAAGATTTAAATATGCTTCAGAAAACTTTAAGTCAGACTAATCTGACAAGAATACCTGGAGAGAGCAGCCTAGTGCCTAAGTAACTGAAGAAGAAACTCTGTGTATTAGCATGAAGGTGTCTTCTGTGCCCAGGAAGGTATCACTCCAACACAGTAACATTAAACATATGGTAAAACTTGTAATGAAAAGTTTGCAATGCAACACAGGAACACCCAGATGTTCTACTTTTAGCACATCTGTTTTCTACTCTGACTGCGGTAGACTGGTTGTCTTCCTTTATGGCTTGCCAGAAAGCAGTTGCAATTGGGCTAGGATAGGAAGGGGTATGGGTGAGGTGCATATTTGCTGATAAAGGTGCCAAGTCTGCCTGATGAGTGAAGGTGGAAGAAGCCAAACGTAGACAGGTATTGTACCATTTCTCTTGGCCCCTGAGCTGTTTCACATGATTTCTGTGTTGGGAAGGTGGGTGTGAGATGGCTACATCCAAAGGATAGTATCTTATTCCTTCTTTATGTATTCATAAATTACTTAATGCAAATACGGGGCCTACTCCCACTATAGAGCCCTCTGCAGAGGACATGCTATAGAAGGAAGGACTGGTCTGTCTTTGCCTCCCACATAGGTTTAGGGAGGCAACGGAAAAGCAGGGAAGGATGCTGGAAGCATCCCTCTTTGTTCATGTGCCTCATTGCAACCAGACAGAAAGGGGCAAAACAATTTAAAATAATTACAAATCAAAACCTGACAGAAAACCCTAAATGTGCGTGTGATGGGAGAGGAGGTACCAGTCTTAAAGAGCAAGCCCTGATGCCAGAGCAGGTCTTTGGGCAGGACAGCAATATGCTGCTTTTGGTCCAGGCTGGACTGTAACTATTGCAGTACAGCCTCTGCCTCATGTCTGCATGGGGCAGCACCCTGTAAGCTATTCCTACTTACTCTCATTTCCAAGTATAGAGTACACCAGCAGCAGCAAGGCTAGGCCCTACCTATGAGAATGTGGACAAGCATGTGTGCATGCTGTCCCACTCCAGGGCCCTAGTTGCCTCTCTTTCTGCCTCTTCTTCTCTCAGCTTATGGCAAAATATGTTCTTACAAATTGCTCTGGCTTCAGAAGATATGTTATATAGCGTCATACTGGCTTCTGTGGCAATGTGTATTACCAACTACCAAAATAAACTTATTAAATTCAGATTGCCTGCTGCCACCGAACAAGGATGATCTCAAGAGTACTTGTATTTATGCAGCATCCTTGTCAACATGCTAATGGTTTCTTTAATAATTTTGCATGTCTTGGAAACTAGCTTTTCTTGGGAATTTTGTCAATTGTGGAAACAGAACACTCCTCTGAACAAGAAGAAAAAAAATCCACATACAACACCACATAGTCTACTGAAGTCTTCAGAAGCACAGTTTGTGGATATCTTACAAAGGGTCAGTTCAGAAATTCTAAGTATTCAACATACAAGGAAACCATAAGCCTTACTGTACAATGGTGAGGAATATTGACATCGATGCCCACATGGCCCCTGTAAACTTTCATAAGAATTGCATATCAGAACTTCATTTCTCCATCTTATAGATAAGAATGATTACCTACTGATGACTCATTAGAGAACTGCATTGTCCCTTGAGACTAGATACAACAATCCATAGGTACCTAATTTTCATGTAGCACCTAGAACCATTCAAACCCTAAGAGAAAACATGGAGATTTAACTTTCTCCCCAAGCCATTTCCATGCCTAGTTCAGGATCAAATGAAAAGTCCAGCCCTTTAGTTTTGTTCTGAAAGCTTTAATTTTCATCTTACAAGGTAGGTTTTTCTCATGAGATTTCGTCATAAGTTGGTTTAAATGTCACAGTATCAGATGGCCTTGAAAGATTTACATCATTTTAGTAGAAATATGTGAGAGTAGCTTTACTGAGTATTCCCTAAGCTCTAGGCTCATTACTTGTGAAACAAATATCTACATTAAACCAACTGTGCATTAAGATAGTAGACCAAAACCAGTTCCTTTGTCTGTCTCCAGTAAAATATTTTTACGTAATTGAAGCCTGGAACTGGTTGCATTAATGGACTTTTTTATGGAAACCCACAATTTAAGCAAAGAATCGTATTATTTGTGTGTTTTAAGACTATGTTAGTGAGTGATAGGATAGCTTTATTTGGGCACTTTAATCTAGCACATCTAGCAGCTGAGAATTTTGAAAAAAAAACGAAATGCACTTTAAGCTAACTAAAAGTCCAAAGCTGATATCCGGAAAGTGAAAAGTTCAGATATTTTTCATCTGAATCACCATGTCTTACATGAATGTGTGCCCAAAGGAGTCCTACTGTTATATGACAGTGATTCAGCATAAGAGCTCATTTACATGAGGCTGAAGTAGCTTTTAGTCATACCTGTACTTTTCAGTTTGCATTATCATTCACTGTCCTCCTCTGTCTGTAACTAGAGCCAGTCCTACAGAATGCCAAAAATGTTAACAAGGGGCAATGCAAAACCATGTAGGCAAAACTAGAATTTGTCTCAACTCTTGGGGAAGTATTTCAGCTGTCTCAATCAGCTCCATATTTTCCTAGAAATAAGAGACTCAAGGTGACTCCTTTAGTCCTGTATCTTTGCAGGGGGGTGGTACAGCCTAGCTGCATTGTACCAAAGTCTCAGGATAAATGACCATTGAATCCTAATTGATATGGAAAGATCTATAGCATTCAGGAAGTATATTCTGTTGAGTGTGATTTAGAGCTCCACTGTAACCATTACAAATGCACAAAGGATGAATGTGGATCATTATGTCAAGAGAGATGACAAAGTGCAAGAGAAAAACACCATAGTTCATCATATATATAGCAAGCATTAGCTAACAAGGTGACTGACAGCAGCAGAGAGTGCAAACTGTGCTAGTGTGAAAGCTGCTAGGAAAAGTGTTGCACTTAACACATGAAAATCGAGAACCTGCTTCAATTCAATGGGGGCATACAGTCCTTACAGCAGGATACCTTCACATGAAAAACATTACTGGGGAACGTGTTTCCTTAGTTACAGGAACATATTTTAATGGTTTGGGAAAGTACTATTACAATGCTCACATACAGCAACCCTCCTTTGAAGGAGAGCTCTGTGGATAATGTACAGTGACAAGTTGTAACAGCACTCACAGGTTCACACATCGTACCCAATGCATATACACCCAAGATGCCCAAACCCATGATATATTTTGTCTCTTTTTATTATTTTGTCACACAGTCTGTCACAATGTGCCATGTGTAAACACTTTTGTAAGTAAAGCAATGCTGGCTGAAGGGCAAATTTAAGAAAAGAAAGGAAGGGAAGTATCAGAAGTTAGGCTGTAAAGCAGTATTTTAAAGCACTGAAGATGCCAAGGGCTTGGCATGTGTGACTATGAAAATATGAATACAGATCTAAGAGTTATATTTTAGAATAATATTTTCCAACCTATCATATTAAGAAAAAATAACGATGCCATTTTCTCATAATCTGCATATACCAATCCTATATCAAGTCTTTACAAAGCTTAATTTTTATTAGGTGAAATAATTAATGAAACAACCTAATGAAATCTAACCAAAATTAACCATATTTTATAAAACATTTCCAGTCAATATAATTTATTACCAATTATATATTTAAATTTTGCTACCTATCCTCATCCTTTTGGCCTCAAGACCTGTTAAAAAAAAAAAGTCCATAGTGTCTGAAATGGTATCCCTGATTTTACTGGAAACCTTGTAGGCAAAGTATCCTTCAGAAAAGAACACATTCACTACAATTATAATATTTAGACAGTGTGCCCTAATCAAATCCAATTAAATCAAATGGCATTGAAGAGTAAAACTCCCTCAAATCATAAAATGAATTGTGCGCCTTCATTTGGTCAGATTATAAATTTCAGTTTTAAATAAAATTATATCTGCTTCATTTTAAGCCATAGTTATAGTTTATTTATACAGGGGAGAAACATAGCACCATATCATGCTAAGGTGTATTCAAAGATTTCTTTATGTAGGGTCTTCTCAAGTGGGAGATTTTTCTTGCTGTAAATGAAAATGAAGTCTTCAGGTTGTATAATACTTTAGTACAGATGTGAGGCTGGATGGGGACAGTTCTACAGTGAACATCCAGAGGTCAAACCCTTTATTTATTAGCCTGATTCAGTAAGGTTTTAGAATGTTACAAATTTTTGTAAATTTTAAATACTTAAATGTAAGGGAGTTAATCCCATATGTGCATGAGCTGAGTAAAATTTTGTGCTGCTAGGCAGGGTTACTCCACTTACTTTGAAGTCACTTGCATTTAAGACATGTTTTTCCATTCCCTGAAGAATTAGCTCAGTGCGACCTTTCATACTTTTGCAAATATTTATGTGACTGGATTTTCCTTAAGGATTAATTGTTCTTTATATAGATGCAGTCATAGAAATTAAATTAATTCCCCTACTGTTCTGTTTCTTGTTGACAAAAAACCACTACAATTTACAGAGAAACAGTAATGTCATTTCTTTACCTCCAGCAAGACAAAAACAAAGTCCCACAGTTCAGTCTCCTATTTTCTCATCATCCTTTTCACTGCTTTTCTCCAGCTGCCTTTTGTTTTCACTTTTATTTGCCTTTCCTTCTCCACCTCCCCTTCCTCAATTTTCCCAATTTGATCTGTCTTTCATCCACTATTCTTATTGTCTCCTGTGTTTTTTTCTCTTCTTCATTGCCCTTCTCCTCCTTACAAGGAAGTCATAGTCTGCTCTTATTCCAAGAAAATGGGGAATAGAGGTTGTGAATAAGAAACTAGCACAACTGTTGCTGGATGAAGGAAGATACCAAGATCACTTGGACTGCACCTTCAGGTTGAAGGTTTTCTTCCTTTAAAATGCTTTTGTCATTCTGATGGGTTTCAGCTAAGCAACTGTAGAAACAATCAGCAGTGAAAAATGGCCTTATTTTCTTCTCTCTGTGACAGCATTTGTGGCAGACCCAGAGTTAGTGAGTCCAGGACCAACTCTCAGCTTGGGGGAGGTGCTGGGGAAGCTCAGGTAGAAGGGTGGGCTTCAACACCAACTGCAGTTATGCATAAAGAGGGGTAAACCAGCCAAAACAGCAATCCACTGAGACTTACAGGGCATGGGCAAATAAACAGCCTGGTGAAATGAGTTCCCAGTGATGAGGAAGTCTACTTCATCCTGGCTTTGGGGTCTGTGGGCACCAGTCATCTTTCTGAGGCAGCCCTTACACTTGGATCTTCAGGGGGTATTTAAGATGTCTTACAGGAGCTGGACTTATAAGACTAATTCAACAGAATTCATAATTAAAGTTGGATCATATAATAAACACCAAATATGATCCTTAATTTATACTTGAGAAAAAATGCAGAAGAAAACAAGAAAAAAAAGAAAAACCCCTAATATTTACTATGAGATAGCACTTTATGATCAAAGGCAGTATTCTTCTGTAGAGCCAATCCGTGCTATCATGGGTTGCTTACAGCAAGGATGCATCTCAGCACATGTGAGTGAAATCAGGCCAGCAGACTGCATGACAGAGGGCAGCTGGAAGACAAGAGTTCCTCACGATCTGGCTAGCAAGTGGATACATTACACCAATAAAGTTGTGCTTTTTTTGTTTTGGTTTGGTTTTGGTTTTGGTTGCGGTTTCATTTATTTGATTGTTTTGGGTTTTTGGTGTGTGTCTGTGTGTGTGTGTAGTATCTTCAAAGGAGGAGAAAAGCCTGTTTCAATGATGTCAACAGAATGTGTTCAGCCACTTGATATGCCCGACGACAGACTGGATAAGCGAGATTCACAGTGTAACCATTTAGGTAAGTGTTATTAGATGATGTCATCGCACTAATGAGAGGTGTTGCCTTCACATCATGAAGTCCTCTCCAGTGTCCATTTTTCCCCTCCAACAATAAAACTGAACCCTGAAGAAAATGGATAATTATACCTTCTGCTGACACTTCTGATGCCAGATGGAATGGCAAAGAGCATTTTTCCTGCATATAAATATCAGCTGAAACTCTAGAGTGAAGTTAATTACAGAGAAAGCAAAAAGAGTCATTGATTTTTTTTCCCTAGGAGAAAACATAGAGCAGTTTCTCCATTTATACTATAGTAAATTGAAAGCTAGGATGTAGCTAAGCTTTACCTGAACACATTTTCCATATGAAATTTGAGAAAAAGATTTCAAGCATCCCATTTCATTCATTGGGGCAGCTTTCTGAAAATGTTTCAGAATCAATCTGTTCCTTCCTTGAACCTACTTTTACACTGAGCATATCAGTCATCTTTGCTCTGCCACTCTCCTGAATACCAGACTTCATACTTGATAGATGTGTTTTTTGCATATTCATGGTCTTTGCTTCTACTTCAAATTCTATTACTTCACTCTCATCTTGCAAAATTGTCCTGAAGATTTAGCAACGCAGAAACAAAAATCTATTTGCTCATTGTTACCCTTGTGATGACAATAATGAAACAGAGAGGCCATTTCACTTGCGTGTCAAAAACTGTCGCACCACAGGCAAGCAGAATTTTATCAATTTTGTTTATTTGTCCTCCAAGGAAGGTATCCTAATTCTGACTATGTCACATGGCATTTCTAGCCACAGGCACCAGTTTTACAATCTGCAGGCTCACAGACATAACATGTCTTAAATAGTGTAAGAGAGCCTGGAATGAAGTCGCGCTTGCATCCAAGTCTGCAGTTAGGGGTTGGATAAGGGTGTGGGAAACCCAGACAAAGGCAAACAAACAGCTTTTAAGAATTTAGAGCATTGGTTTGAGTGATGATAATAATGAGAGGTGTCGCAAATGAGTAGTTAGAATGTTTAAAAAATTAAGAGTAAATTGGATTAGAAGCAGTTTGGAATAATTTACACAGAGACTGGGGATGCAAGGAGGGTTAGAGTGCAGAGGATATGGATACCAGAAAAGGGTGCAAAAGCACCTAATCATTGACTACCTTAACATTTTAAGAAGTGATTCAATAGTATTTGCTACAATTATAACAACTAGTTAATTATAAACTCAAAATAACAACATTCATACCATAATCAATTCACTTGCTTGCACCCAAGGAAATAAATATATACATCTATATCTATCTGGGTAAAGGTACTAATCAAAAATTCCCCTCAAGGTCAGTGAAGTACTTTTATCAAATCCCTTAGCATTTCTCAACAGGCATGGGCTGGCCCTCAAGGAGAGTGTGTGTGTAATCCACCTAGACCTCATCATCAGCAACACGTTTCAGGTATTGCAAACTTGAGGGTTTGTGAGCTCCAAGAGACATCCCACTCAAAGGGAGTTGCTGGTGCAGCCCACTGCTTTCCAGGAGCACTCAAAATCCGGGAGGCCTCACTTAGCACTGCTGTTTATATGGTCACAAGATGATTTTTCCCAAAAAGTCCAGTAACCATAGTACCATTGCATTCAGCCTACAATTCATTTTTTGCACAAGGCCTCCTAACAATGGTACCATTTCACTTGGGCTACAATTCAGGTAAATTACTTACGAAGGGTAACACAAATAACAGCTTATCCTTTGTTCCTCATCTTGGTTGGGCAGCTGACGGTCCTGGTATGGTCAGTATTGTTCCTACCTTTACCATGCAAAAGCACCCAGTATGGTCACAGATGCTTCCCCACCCAACTGGTACAGTCAAGGGGCACTTCACCACTCAGCTGGTTCAACCGAGGCTTGTCAGAAGCTGCTGAGATCACAAAGCAGGCCTGAGGATGAGGTGAGGGAGGAGGATGCACCACCACAACAGATTACCTTCAATATTTTCAGCTTGCATAAGCACTCAAAAATGCAGACTCTTGTAGAAAAAGACATGCTGACTCTCTGAGTCATCTGAGTCAAGGCTTGTTTTAGGGGAAAACCAGAAGTCCAGTACAATGTTATGTAGACCAAAAGCAAATAGCAGTTGCTCAGTAGCTCTTGAAATAAAGGCAACTCTTGAAGGGAACAATATACTGACTGGCTTATTTTACCAGTGCCTCAGGCTGACCCCACATATGTAAAACTTTCCTTCATAAAAGTGCCCTTTTAACTCTCGAAGACACAGTCCACACGGTGAGCACTGGATGAAACAGGGGTAGCTATGGAACCTCTGCTCACAGTGATGCAGCCTTCCCTCTACCATGTAAACACACAGCTGCACCCAACTCTCTCCCTCTGTTTTATATCTACTGCCTACAACACAGAAGGACCACCTAAGTCATTTGACTTCCTTGTAGTATGGCACAGAGGCCTCTTTTGATGAGCTAAGTATTTAAAAGATGTTTTTCATGGGCATTTTAATTTACTTGGATTAAAGCACTATTATTAAAGCATTTCTTTTCAATGTCTGGTTTATTATTTCCCCAAAGTTTCAATTTCTATTATTCTTTTCCCTGCAGAAGATCTTTCAGAGCAGCTGATTAAGAACTGCGACCTCAAAAAAAAGCCAAGAAAAGGTAAAACCATCCCAGCTTCCCAAAACACTGAACAGGAGCAAAAAAAGCCAAGGAGAAAAGATACACCAGCTTTGCCCACTCCACCACCTCTAACAGGTAAGCATAAATCTCTTGACTTTGAAATCCCAATTTAGCTGTGGGAACTGAATCTGAGCAAAGTCCATAGACCCCTCATTTAGTTATGTCCCCTTGGATGCTTACAGAAACACAGCTCCATGCATGTGCATCTTGGAAGGCAGATGAACAGAGTCTGACTTCCTCAAAGCCATCCTCCGTTAGTTGAAGGGTTTGCTCACAGATCTGGGAACACCAAGGTGAGAGGGTGTATGCTCTGGAAAACGTGCTCCCTTGGAGCTCATAGTCTTGCTGCTAAATGATGCTACATTTATGTGTTAAGTGATATGCTGAGTCATGTTCGATGTCCCAATTTGATATGGTCCAAAATCAAAATGGATCCAGTTCAGCCCCTGCACTTTCTCTTGAAACTCATACCCAGTGCTCAGAGGAAGGCTGAACGAGGATAACGCTGGCAGTAGACCAAAGAGGCACACAAGCCACCTGCACAATTTCCTGCATCATCCAGGATTTCCTCCTAGAAATTACAGGGCTCATATGCTTATGGGGACTCTGAGCGTTTCAGGAAGCCAGAAATCACCACAGCAACAAAGGCGCTCCTTGTAGGATGCTTCCTGCTGTGGCACATCTACAGATGTTTGAGAGCCAACCTGGGGAAGGGAAGAATAAGCTGGAGACTGCCAGTGAAACCTGATGACCTTCCAAGAACAGCAGTAGGAATAAATGTTTGTCACTCTGCTAACAAGCAGTCCTTGCGCTCTTCAGGGAGAGAGCTGTGCTCTTGTATCATCGAGTTGTTCTTCCCATGCTGCACGTACACAGAGAGTGTTGTGGGTGGGAGTGGAAGGCTCAGACAAAACGTATTAAAAAAAAGGCCCTGCCATTAGGAGGTGTAGAGTCATTCAGTTGCCCTAAGACACAAGGTGCAGAAAGGACTGCCTTGCTTTCTAAACTCCTTCTCAGAGAGGAGTCTAAATGTAGATGAATCCAATCAGCTACATATTACATCAACAATTTAAACATAAGGAATTACAAAGGTGTGATTGAACCACTTTTGTCCCGCAGGTTTAATGATTGAATATTTATTAAAATGAATAATTTATTATTACAAATGATCAGGCAAAAGATCTTAATCGGAATTATTTACTACACAATATAAACACTAAAACTACTAGTAGTATAGTATAAGATAGGATAGTGCATTATATCATAGCAAGTATTGAAGCAATTTTATTAAAGTTAACAAAAAGAAACAATTATTAAGTAGCAATTTGATGTAACTCACCAATACCAATGCTCGTAGAGAGATCTCTTTCTCTCAGCCTCTCCTCCCAAGCGAGGAACCTCTACACATACACCCCAAGAAGGGATAAGTTAAGAAAAACCTGAAAGGGAGCTAGACTTTTATAGTATAAGGTGACTGACTGCTAGTTAAAAATTTACAGGCCAGATACTTTCTTATCTGTCATATCCAACTTCAAAAGGTAGGATGTGTGTTTGAAGTTTGGTGAACCAGGCTGGTGTTGCATTCCGGATTAAACTGCCCAGAGCAATTACATTTTTTGATTTTTTAAAAGCCTCTTGGTTCATTATAACCTCTAATTAGCATCCGGAGAAAGAGTTACACGTTCTTCTCCAAGAGAAATTCTTTTTAATTTAGTGAGAAAAATAAGATATTTTGGCAAAAGGTTTTTACAAGAGTAAAATACAACCAAGAATAAAGCATTTCACTAAATCATTCAGCAAAAAGACCCATTCCACTGGAAAAATCCACTAAAACAAACCATATACCAGCTTTAGTAAAACACAGTTCATTGGTTTTAAGTTATCCACAAGAGAAGGAAAGGAGTAAAAGAAAACAGATTAAAAGGGTTACAGACAGAGAGAAGAGAGTGGAAAAATGGTTACCAACAAGATCCATTGATTCTCATGGTGCTGACTGCAGAGGGAGAAGAGAGGAGAGACCACATAGAGTCTCGTGCATTTACAGAGTTCAGTTTTCCCTCCCAGGCAGGACATCCAGTCAGTGCCTTCCCGGCCGGAGTGAGGTGTGCTGTAGGCAGTCACAGGCTGCAGGGGTGTGGTGTGGTTGGGCTACCAGGCAGGTCTGTCTTGACTGACAGCCCGGCTGCAGGGCCTTCAGTGATGCCACAGGCTCTGCATGGGCTGCAGAACCTTCCAGCTCTGCCATGTGCCCTCAGCATAGGCCTGATGGGCAGCCCTTACCATGAACCTGGCAGGTCCAGGCCCAGCCCTTTCCCATGTGCACACTCATAAGTGAGTTGGTTCCAACCCATATCAATAATTCAGTGAGATTCGAATCCAGGATCTCACAGCTGCTTTTAGCATAATTCAACACCAGAAATATTACCATGGGGCCACCAGTAACTCATCACAGATAGCTTGTATGAGAGCTTGCATTCTGCGTTCTCTGATTGAATTCTAGGCCTTACTGGAGTAGGCCCTCCTGCCACAAAGAGTTAGCCAGTTAACTACTTGTAAGGTTCCCTGTATAGATGCAACAATTCATCAAGCCAAAAACAAGCAGCTGGGATTTTCCTGTATTTGTAATCCAGATACTGAATTTGACTCTGTTCAGTTTTCACATGTATCTTCCATCAGCAATTCTCTTCTAGGGAAGAGTGGCTCAGAGGCTGAAGAGCTGCCTTTTGTGCCTGCAACTACCATACCATACAGAAAACATTGTTTCACTGGAAAAAATAAGCCATTTCTGTGCAATCCCATTGCTCCCAACTAGAGGCTTGAGCATCTGTGTGATTAAGCTACTTTGACAAGATGTCTAAGGTTCTGGAATAGAAATTCTTTACCATGATTTCTGATGGGCTGCAGTTTAGTGGATTAAATACAACCAAAAGCAAGCTAGCCTGATAGCTTCATTGTTTGTAGCCTATAATTAACTTGGAGGAAATGTAGGGTAGTTATGCCATGCAGCAGATCATGCACTCATGCCGCTTTACTTCAGAGTAGTCGTTGGAAGAATTACACAGGTGCAAGTTTCTTCAGTGTGAACTAGGCTAAAGTGTTGTGTTTTTTTTTTTTTTTCCCCTCCTTGCAGGCATAGTTTCAGACTTTTCTGATAATCTGCTGAAAAGATATGGTATCACAGAGAAGCCACAGAGAGAGAGAGTGAGTCCAGTCTCTCAAGTCACTGAACTGGAGCAGAAAAAGCCCAAGAGAAAAGATACACCTGCAATACACATCCCACCTTTGATAATAGGTAAGAAACCTCGGTGAAGAATCCTCCAAAGTGGCTAGTGTCAGAGGAATGCCTGGGAGGAGGTTGCTCTCTGCCCAGCCTACTTAGCTGCTCTTAATGAACTAGACTTATTTGGTCTAATAACAGTGGTGGCTCATGAAAAGTCTTTTACATATCCCCTGCTCATGCTCTGGGGACAGAAAGGAAGGGAAGTAAGAGAAGACATTTGGTCACTTGATTATCTTCCACAGACTGTAATCCTACTTTTCTGACAGGTCAACTAATATCCTGCTTTTCAAACCTAAGTAGCTGTAAATTTTTAGGCCACCAGCACTAAAATGCCTCAAACAACTTGAAAAAAAGCTATACTGATTAAACTCCTCTTCACTTCACAGTTCCTGACATGCACTGACAAAATCAAGCTGTAATGAACTTCTCATTAACAGCACCTTAAAGACAATTCTGTGCTTCTGGCATAACATACAATACATACATGCTCACCTAAGATGCCACTAGGGAAGGGAAGGGAAAGGAAGGGAAGGTGGAAAAAAACTGGTGACCATCAAATGTGTGACAAAATTCAAACTCTGTGCATTTGTTATGGGGAAAAAGAGCTTAATTACTAGATTATCTTTCTGAACAGCTGTCCACACAAATACTTAGTTGTAAATGCAGTTAAAATGGCAGATGTGTTATCCCTCTCCATTTTTACCAGCTGGTTATAACCTTTCTAGGACAGTCACTCTCCTTCATGGGTGGCCAGGGAGATTTTCTATCACAAGTCAAATGGACCATACAGGGTATCTATTGGACAGTATGTGGTCCAAATGAGAAGCAGAATCAGTCTTACACCTTACAGACACCCAATCCAATTGGGAAATGCAGGTACAAAAAGGGGGGTGCTAAATTAGTTATCTGAATTCTCTTCTACCAGGGTTAAGCTTCTAAATGTATTCAGCCTTCAAACTTCTACTGAAGTGGCACATATAACATTATGCCATGTGCATACAAACAAACTATGAGCAGAAGTCTCCTTCAGTGGCCCACTCGCCTTCAGCCAGCCAACACCTTTTCCGAAGGGATTAGACTAGAACACAAAATAGAATCACAATTCCAGTAGTCTTTTTTTCTGTCTCACTTGACAGAAAATGGCTTGAATCTGATCCAAGCCTGCAGTCAGCTCTGGAACGCTCATCTGCACTTAGCAATATATTTCATTAACTGAAGTATTTCTGAGAGCTCTTCAGGCCTGTGGGTTTGAGACAGAATATAAATACATGCCTAAATATGGGAAGACGGTTCCTGAAACGTGGCTGCTTAGGGTTTCCTAATCAGATCAGAGGTAAATAGCAAAACCACAGTTTCAAACCCTCATTCATTCTTATACCGTAGTAAAACAGTTAAGGTAGCTCCTTTAGGATAACATCACAACCCCACTGAAAACCTCTGGGTAACATGAGAAGCACAGAAGTTTAATGTCACCTCTTGCCTCTCCAGCAGGAGTTGTCCTCAGGTAGTCTGTAGACAGGTTCCATTTTGTTGGTTTTCCGATTTATAGCCCAGGAGGAATGGCTTAGATCTAGGTGGCACCTTCTTGATTTAAGCCAACTTCTGCCTATGTTTGAGCTTCCTAACAGAAACTTTTATATCTCTGTAAGCCTTCATGGTTCTCGTGTCTAGCTAAAAATTGCAAGTAGTTGCAGGTTCTGTTGGGAAATTATGACTACATTGTATTTACCTGTCACAGTTTTGCTGTCGGGAAAGGGACCGGACCAGCGACAGGGGTTCTTGGCTAGCTTTTAGATGTTAGGAGAAAGCTAGAGGTGGGATCTGGAAGGTTAGGTTCAAGCTGTGACACAGCCCCAAGAAGAGACACACAACACAAGTCCAAACACCTTCACAGCCAAGGCTGATCTAACTTTATTAACACAAAAAGGTGGGTTTTATAGGGAAGAGTAAGGAAGGATCTGGAACCTGGACGGGGATAGGGCGGAGCATGCAAATCCACTAACAGAGATTGGGTAAAGGTATATGAATAAACATTGCAAGGTAGGAACGAGGGAGGAGATAACTGGGGAGAACATGATTGGTCAGTACCACTTGGTACACTGACCAATGGAACACTGTCTCTATGCCTGCTAGGCTTCAAGTCCATGAAAGGAAAATAGGAAAGTCAACCTAGTAATAGGTTTTATGATTTCAGCAGAGCTACCACGGCAAAGCCCTCAAACATTGGTGTCATCACAAGTAGTGGTGTCGGCAAGGTTGTTTTTCCACTCTTCAAACGAAACCTCTTCTTTTCCCTGATTCTTCCATAATGCATATGCCGTTTCCATTTCCTCGTGGTCTTTCTCACCTCCAACATTTACCTTCTGCTTTCTTTAGTCAGACCGCTTGGCAGATATTAATAGAACAACCTACCAATCCTTAAAATAGATCTGCAGATGAGTTGCATTTCATAATACACACAGCTGGGAAAACAGAGGCAGAAAAACTAAGTGATTTATTTATTCAGCAAACAGAGAAAGACTAACTTACAAATGTTTCCCAAATCAAATGTCCTTCTCACATCCTTTTGGTTCACACCCAGAACTTCCAAACTGCATTCAGTAAAGCACATTTTCTCCACAACTGATCAGTGGCATTGTATCCAAGAAAAAAATCCTTTCCCAGTGTTATACAAATAACTACAGCTTTGACCTGCCATTTGTATACCCTTTCCACTGTTTTGCATTAAAAGGCTGATTTGTGAGTGGTCCATGGAAAGTTGTTAACCTGCATCTCTGGGCTACACCCACCTCTGAGCTCTGAATCATGAACTCTACTGGAAACCTTTGGAGGTCATCAGTCACCAAAGTGTTTAATTGATAATGATCTTGCATTCATTGTGGTAAGTGTCTGTGCAACTAGAGCTGGGACCTATGCTTAGGTTTTACCTTTCAGCTGTCCCCAGCATTGCTAAAAGGACTAGTTTATGTGCTATAACTAGGCCATCAGAATTACATAAACACATTTTTCCTTCATCACTTCTTCGTTTAAATAAGTGAATAGACATGATCCATTTATTTAGTGTACATATCTGATCTCTTATTCCTGATTTTACCCAAAAAGCAGGTTATCTCTCCTCAAATGATCCATTCTAGCTTCACATTCTAAGCATGCTTTAATTATGTTTCCTTGTTCCTCAGATCCTCCATGATGTAAAAAACCAACAACATAAACCCTTCACTCCTTCTTTAAAAGACAAAACCCAAACCCCAAAGACAACAGTAAAAAAAATTTGTCTGTATTTGCCTAAGTTGTCTATAGAAATAGAAGTCTGTGTGGGGGACATCTACATCCATCTCCATAAAATGTCATCATTCATTGCAGTTAACAATGGTGGTTACTCAACTGCTGCTTGAACAAATAAAGTCCTTTGTGTTTCAAATTAACATTTATTTATGCCTTTCAGTTTATTTCATAGTGCTAGTTCACAAGAACTGCATATAAATGAAGCTGGAGTCAACTCAAATGAAGGGCAGTATAGGTTGATATTTTCATTAATTCATCGCCCCTGAAAAGACTCTAAAGTTAAAGAAAATCTTCCTCTGTTGTATTGCCCTATTTTCAGACCTTGGCAAGACTGAAAGCCTTCTATGCAAAAGAGTTTTTGATGCAGAAAGAAGCAAAACAGGTTGGTCTGACAGAACAGCTCTGCTGGTATCAAACATTAGGAGACCAAATTTGGGAGAGATTTCACTGGTCTCAACACAATGATATCTCTCAATCCTGTTTGTAGACTACATCAACATCCACACCAAGGAATGTGGGCATAAAATTCATCACACAAGTCACTTGTTTTCTACTGGAAACAGGCAAATCTAGCATAATATGTTACAATAGAGTTCAAGAACATTTTGTACCTAATGCATTGTTCTCACTTCTTTCGTATTTATTTTCTAATGAAGAGAGCATTTACAGTATTAGTGATATCTTGGTATCACACAAAAGCCTCAATACACCTAAAGGGTGGACTTACCAGTTCAAGTATAAGAGAGAAAAAGAGAAAAAGAAACAGAGAGAAGGGAGGAGAGACAGAGATTTGTGGAAAGTATGATCTAAAATCCAAGTCTGTTTTCACATTGTTCAGCAGTTTTTGCAATTTACTGATACTATGTAACTTCAGTGAGATGGCACTTGTCATGTTGGTGTTCCAATCTTTGTCTCTTTTGTCATCTGCACTTGAAAAATTTAAGTAATATGGCTATATACTTAGAGGAAATATATACATGTTCACATAAGGTAGCTCAGTCACAAAGATTAATCACAGCATTTACTTAATCATGCAAGCTCTTTACCTTATTTAGCTCCCCAAACCCTTTTAAGAAAGAGGTTCCCAAATAAAACTTTATTATCTCTTTTCACAGATTGGAAAAATATGCTAGATTTAAGAGTGCCTAATAATTTTAGAAAAAATGCAGTGATTCAGTTCTAGTTCACTAAATACCAGGAGACTGATGTGCTAAAAATAAATGAGGAGTAACTCCCACGATATTGGAAAACTATGTTCAGATGAAGAAGTAAGAGAGGACTGAAAATTTCTTTTTAGCCTGGTATTTTCCAAAAAGCAGTATGTTAAATCAACTTTTTTTCTCCTTTTTGTTGTTGTTGTTGTTGGTTTTTTGTGTGTCCTTGTGTTTTTAAGGCACTAAGCTGTTTACAGAAGAACAAACAGTGATTATGGAAGACGAAGAAAAGGAGGGAGACACAATCCACAGTTAAGATTACGACGATATTTCCAGTAATGCAGTGTAAATAATTCTGGGTCATTCAAAGTAGCAGCACACAGAAATAGAAGTTCTTTCATTTTTATAAATAATAATTTTCTCAAGCATACACTTGATTTCAAATTATCAGCAAGTGCTTATCTGCATCTTATGAATTCCCAGCAAGCATCATAGGAGATGATGACAGAAATTTTACTGACACCTGGAGTTTGAAGGATTCTGTTGGTTTACTATAAGTGACTTCCCAGCATTTCTGTAAATGAGGAATCCATCTCAGAACAGATCTAGCTTTGTGCAATGTGGTGATAAGGGTTAATACAAAGAACAGCACTCGTAGACTGTACCTGGCACTTGACACCAGAGCAGTAAAACATCAACTAATGATTCAAATTGCATTTTTCTCCTGACACTTTACCTAATTTGTCCAGCTTTCCTCTTCTGGAATAACAGTGACCACAGTGAAAATTCCCATGTGCAAAGCTGATGGGATAGATGGAGAAGGTGCAAGGGCAGGAGCCACACCCTGAAATGGAAAGCAAAAATTTCTTCTGCCTGTATCTGCTCATGACTTGTGTTTGTGAGGATGAAAAGAGAGATTCACTGCAGAATGAAAATTTACATCTAAGGGCTGTCAGCACTAACACATCAGGATAGAGGGAAGAGCTCTCAGAAGAGAAATATCAGGGAAGTGCAATGCCTGCCTGTTACATCAGTGTAGGCAATTGTCTCCACTAGTCAGTGAAAGATAAAATAGTTGGATAGTTGATCCGTTTCCTCCAAATAATTTCTTTTGACACCTACTTTTTAACTTGAGTTCTAGGTGAGTTAGGAGAGGTGGAAAAGATTGAAAATCTTTTGGAAAGTGGAAAGTGAAAATTGAGTAAAAGGAATAGTGTTACTCAATGACATATGCATATTGCAAGGTGGAACAGCACCATTTGATTTTTTTTTTTATTAGTTTACCTCATTGATTCAATCAAGAACTGTTTTCACAGCCAGCTACAGTCTGGTAGAATGGCCAGTTTGTGCTTACCTTAATAGGTCTGGGCTAGATAGAGTAGCACTGTCAGCTGGGCCATTAGGGACCTGAGCAGAGAGGTTGAAGATCATTGAATCATAGAATCAACCAGGCTGGAAAAGACCTCTGAGATCATCAAGTCCAACCCTTGATCCAATACTGCCTTGATCCAACTACTAGACCATAGCACTAAGCGCCACATCCAGTCTCATCTTAAAAGCCTCCAGGGATGGTGAATCCACCACCTCCCTAAGCAGCCCATTCCAATGTCTGATTACTCTCTCTGTAAAAAATTTCTTCCTGATATCCAACTTAAACCTCCCCTGGCAGAGCTTAAGACCGTAAATCATCTAGCCTGGCAGACTGTATTTAGTTATCTTTTTAACTCCCTTAGGAAGACAGCTGAGGACCATAATAGTTTGGACTTCATTTGCCACAGTGACTGAACCAGCATCTTTCATGAGAATGCAGTCTATTCACAAATATTAAGCTTCAAGATATAATCAACAAGCTTATAATAAATAATTGCATATTAAAGTGTACAAGATGCCTGCTATATTATTAATGGGATGCCTAATAACTAGGAGGTGTACTTGTTTTTATCCTGTTAACCTATCAGTGAGATAGTATTTAAAATATAAACAATCAATAGTTCATATAACAACAGTAACGTAAGGTACACAGTAAAGTATGTCACAGTAAATATGTGAAAAAAAATACATGTTACTCAAGTCTAGCTTTACCAGTGAAGCTGGTGAATATTTTCAGTGCACAATACAGCAAGAGTGAGAGTGTGGAATCCTGAAAAGATTCAAATGAACATCAGTAATGGATTAGCCATGAAAATATACATGTTTAGACATGAAGGTCCTTAACAACACAAAGCAGGAGCACAAATAGGATGCGATTGAGTTCACTGCTCTGAAAAGGATTTGTTTCCAAGCCTGGGGAATTCTGACACAGCTTAATAGGGGAAAAAAACCAACCAAAACAAAAAAGAAAGCACCCTTTAAGCCTAGCACTATACAGTGTTCAGCAAAGAGGAGTTACAGTCTGAGTGACATCTCTGATGGCACACCAGCCTAATTTACCATCTCTGTATAGATCAACTCGAAGTCCAGATATAAAAATGCTGCAACACACATCATATTCTGCAATTCTTTTAAAACTGCATATTTACAACCTGGCAATTCAACATTTTCTGTTCTTCCACCCAGGTGCAACATAAGCAATTAAAAGTAATTTTTCACTTGATCAATCAAGTTAATAGAAGGTTTTGCAATGTTCCTGGGAAGCCGTGTGATGAATTATTTCTCAGCTTCCACATGCTTTATTTCACTCAGTTGAAGTGTTAAATGTTACTTTGTTTGGGAATAAAATAATTTTTTTTTCAAATGAGGCAGACAATTCCCCTTCCCCCAAAACAAAGCCTTTAGGTTTTGCAGAATTGTGTGTGGACTCTACAGTGGTGTGAATGTGGTTTATTGGGTTTATTTATTGTCATTCAGGCTCCCTTTAAGACCAGATAGTGCTAAAACAAACAAACTGCTCTCCCCAGACAAATGACAGGAGTTGGTTAGTTCTAGGGCAGAAATGCATTTGTATTCAGTGTCCCCAAAGGGCTCCCATGGCCATTACAGCAAAAATGAAAGGAAACTGAAAGCACAGACACACACTAAGCATTTCCATAGGACTGTTGAGACTGGGCTGCTCCAGACTGAAGGCACATTGTCTGCTATGTGCATTGACAACTTTGTATGTGGAGAGGTGGCTTGCATTCAGATATTTATCTGGAATGGCATCTCACCCCAGAAGTCTGCACTGGGTGGGACAACCACTCCAAGCCCTCAGCGGGGAATGAAGTGATTCAATTAGTGAATAAAAGACTGGAGATCATTAATGGCTAATATTTTTGAAGAGAATTCTCAATTAACATCTACCTAGAAGCTAAGACACAGGTCTCCATTTACAATAAAATTTGGACTAAGGGATTTAATGGCTTTAAGAACTTTCAACTAAAGATTACAGAAAGCCCATCAACCATTTGAAAGGGTTTCTGTAGTGCTAAATATGAGATTCATAAGGTAGGTGGAATAAATTCAAAGCAACATTCATGATGCTATTGTAAAGTCACACTATATTCATAGATAAAGCAGAATTTACAAGCACTAAGTTTAGCAAAACTTACACGGAATTTGTGTCTGCTTGAAATTTTGTCTTAGTGGTTGATAAGTTGATAATTGTATAATGCTTTGACCACGTAAATTATTCGATATGTTTAGATATCTTAACAGATCATCTTCCTGCATGTTTTATGCCATCCTTACCTTTTGAGATTACACTTTTTACACACGACTTTACAGTATTCTTGTATGCAGAGAGATTGCCCAGCAATACCTTCTACAAGCAAAAATCAGAAATGCATGTCAGCGAAGCACCTTAGAAATTTTGGCTTCTCACTTGTATTTAGATAAGTTAATAAACAGATATTACTCTGTTCCTCACATCCCTCCCAAAAAGCCATGGGCCTTTTAAAGTGAGGTGGTGCAAACAGAAATACCAATATTTTGGCAATGTAGATACACAAATAGAACGAGTGAACATTTAAAGCCAGTTTCTACCCCATGATACTGGCTTCTGGTCCTGCATGAGGAACTCACATAGTCTGTCAGATCCAGAAGCTACAAAGGGAAGCTTAATCCATCCTTATTCCTGACATCCTGAAGAATCCTTAAAAGACACAGACTGGACAGAGAGAGAAGTGACAGCTATATTATTATGCACATTCTAGAAATTAAAGAACTGCATTTGATGGACCACTTGTGCTTATTCTTTCAACTGCAATGATCCTCTAAATGGCAACATGTGTATCCATGACTGTGAGACACACTGCAGTGAGCTTTGGATTTCTCCAAGCTGTCATTTTTTTTCCAACCTTCAAAGAAAAATTTAGGCCCCCAGGTGGTCTTAGGGTCTGAAACAAAGTTATACCTATCTCAGGTTTGTTCTTCTGTATTCTGTTCAGCCTGGAGAAGAGAAAGCTTAAAGGGAACTTATTATCAATGTATATAATAATGCACGTAAATGTCTGATGGGGAGGAATAAAGAGGGAGCCCGGCTCTTCCCATGTCCCACTGAAAGGACGAGAGGCAGTGGGCACAAACTGAAATACATGGAATACCACTTACAAGTAAGAAAATATGTTTTTGCTACCAAGCACTGTCACAGATAGTCCTGAGAGGTTGTAGACTCTCCATCCTTGGAGATTTTCAAAACCAAACTGGACAAAGCCCTGAGTAACCTTCCTTGGTGGATCCTACTTGAACTGGCCAACTCCAGAAGCATTGATCCTGCCTCAGTGATTCTGTGACTATAGTCCAGGATCAATAACAAGGGAGTTTCTTAGTGATACTTAGCAGGTCTATGAGAGACCAGGAGAAAGGTTTGAGGTAAAGGGAATGATTGTCAGATAAAGTTAAAAATTCACAGAAAGTTCACAATAAATATAATTTAGTCTTGAAACCATGATAATGGGGTGATGGACCAATGTGGAGTCCCGAGGAAAAACACAAAATATAAGGAATCAAGGAATAAATATTCAAGAGTCTTTCTGTGCCTCACTCACTGTGGATTTTAACATTCATATTTTAATTCAGATTTTAATCCTTTCCTAAAACAAATAAAGAACTCCTCCTCAAATAAACAAAAAACTCCTCCTCAATAAATAAAAGTTTATCAGAGCAACAAACTTTTCTGCTGTAGTAAAGTGATCCAATGACTGGAGCAAAGGCTCTGCTCACGAATGGACTACAGAGAAAAAAAATATTAAATTTGCAAGTGCTGATAATTGTAATGAGTTAACAGATAATAAATTTAAATGGCATCATAGATTTAAGATCATAAAATTTGTCTAGACAGACAAACTTATTTCTGTGCTGGAAGCAAGTGGTTATCTCCAAAATCATAAATACAGAAAAAGGTCAAATACATTTCAAAGCTGGTCCTCCCCCAGATAACATGGATTTCATTTGTGGAAAATTTTCCTTTGTTGTACACTAGATGTCAGGGTTGGACTGAGACATTAAGTCCATCCACTCCATTACACATCTCTATGCATCAGGCTGGATGCCATCAGCACAACTAAGTGCTAAACTTAGGAATTATTTCCGTGAAACATCCAATTTTTACTAAGAACAGTCTGCAAAAACATCCTCTCTCTCCCACTTTGCAGTATTTCATTTCAGCCAAAAACCCCAGGCTTTGGAAGAGGAAAGAGACATTCTGAGGTATCTTTCCAATACCAAAGAGTATCTGGCAGCATTCTTCACCTTCCCCAGCTCCAGAAAAAAAAAAATAACCCCTCTCTAAACCATTTGGGTGAACAGTAACTTTCTAGAGGGCATTCTAATGGACAGCAGTTCAATACAGTATGGATTTAGCCAGAGAAAAATGAGAGCAAAGAGGAACCTGATCAGAACTCCATTAAAGTTTAGGAACCATATGCACTCCACATGGCACATCAAACTGAGTGGTGCAGTTGATGCCCCTGAAGTACAGGATGCCATCCAGAGAGACCTAGAGAAGCTTGAAAAAAGTGGGCTTATGTGAAACTCATGACATTCAACAAGACCAAGTGCAAGGTGCTACACCTGGGTCAAGGTAACTGCCGGTATAAAGGGTCTGGGGGATGAATAGATCGAGAGCAACCCTGGGGAAAAGGGCATGGGGGTGTTGGTGGATGAAAGCCAGTAATGTGCGACTGCAGCCCAGAAAGCCAACTATATCCTGGGCTACATCCAAAGCAGTGTGGCCAGTAAGTCAAGGGAGGTGATTCTGCCCCAGTACTCTGCTCTTGTGTGACCTCACCTGGAGTGCTGCTTCCAGTTCTGTGGTCCTCGGCACAGGAAAGACATGGACCTGTTTGAGCAGGTCCAGAGGAGGGCCACAGAGATGCTCAGGGGGCTGGAGCACAACTCCTATGAAGACAGGCTGAGAGAGTTGAGGTTGTTCATCCTGGAGTAGAGAAGGCTCCAGGAGGATCTTATAGCACATTCCAGTGTCTTAAGTAGGCCTACCAGAAAGCTGGAGATGGAGTTTTTGCAAAGGCACTGACAGGATAAGGGTCAATTGCTTTGTCCTAGTTAGAGCAGCCAGGACCAGTTCATCACTGTGTGGATGTAACCCAAACTGTATTCTACACCCTCTATATAATTTCCCAGGAACTGTTAACAATAGACCATTTGCAGCAGCTTTCCAGAGCACATCTGACCCCTCAGGCTATAAGCTGGGTGTTAAGAAGACTGTGAGATAGGAGGATGTTCCTGTCCTCACACCAATGACTCAGGTGTGATAACTCTCATTAGCACCTCTACATCTAGCCTGAGGGGTCATGTCTGCTAATGGGCCATCAAGGATTCCAAAAATATCTCAGGACTCACAATCACCCATTGTGAAACTCTCTGCCCTGGGTGAGGTACTGGGCATTCCCACGGGAACCTGAGTGTACATAATCTTGGGGTCTTGGTACTTCTGGTACCACTTGTCAGATCCAGAGGAGGACTACAATGTTGACCGGACTGCAACACCACTGTCACCAACAGGTTTTCCTTTCCTTTTGCTTGGGACTCAGGGGGACCATGTGGGGCTCTGCACAGAGGCCAACGAACACCATTCTGTTGGTTTCCCAAGGTGCTGGGTTATACATCTGGGTTTTGTGGGTTAAAACCAATTGTTTGTCTGTATAATTGTATTTATTGTGTTATTTTTATTAAACTGTAACTCTGACTTATAATCTCTTTTGAGCTGGGTTAATTTCTCCTGCCGGTTTACCTTTAAACCAGCACAGGCTTTAACCTGAAGGAGAGTAGGTTTGGATTGAATATTAGGAAGAAATTCTTTGAGAATGGTGAGGCACTGGAACAGATTGTCCAGAGAGGCTGTGGATCTCCATCCCTGGAAGTGTTCAAGGCCAGGCTGGATGGGGCACTGGCCATGTGGAAGCTGTCCCTGCTCATGCCAGAGGCGTTGGAATGAGATGATATTTAAGGTCCCTTCCAACCCAAATCATTCTATGGTTCAGTGATGACACCCCAGGTAGGTAATTTCATTACCCTGTACTTTGACTATATATATTCAAGATGACAACTTACCTCTGCTTCATGGCAAAGGAGAGAATGTGGACCAGGAGAGCAAAGGCAGAAATCAATCCCTTTGTGAGATGCTGGTGACAGAAAAGTAATAACCCAAATAAACTACAGATAATAATGAAAGGTAAAACCCCAAAAGATTCCTCTTTCAACTTCTACATAAACCTAGTGCTGTCCACTTGTCCAGAGAACAGTCAGGTTCTCTGTTAGGTAAAGTGCCCTGAAAGAAAGGAAATGACACAGAAGTAATTTTGCACATACTTGTGTATATATATATATATATATATATATATGGATGCAATATATGCAGTATATAGCCTATTTGTGTAAAATATTTAGGGTATTCTACAAGTAAAACACAGTTCTCAGAAAATTCCTAGAGATAAATACATTTCATAAGCAGGAGACTTTAAAGTGCGTTCCTTTTCACATTTGGTTTAGTCAGTGACCCAGCCCCATTGCTACAGCCACAAGTTCTGGTGGTGGTGAAGATCAGTATCACAAACATGAAGCACAGGGTACAACAGATGAAAATAACTGAAACATGGTTACATTAGAGTACTCAGGCAATAAAGATGTCTAGCAAAACACTCTGAAAAGGTGTGAGACCTTGAGGCAAGTGTGCCTGGAATTGCAGTGAGGGGCATCTATAACAGTGGAAATACACTTTGGCTTATTTCATTCAACAACCAGCCATGATTTCAATGTGACTGTCACACAGCAATGGTGCATACACCAATTGGTGCAGTTTTAGTGTTAGACATGGTTACAGACTTGTAGTGTATAACAATGCAAATTCACAGTGAGCAAATTTTTACAAATATAAATAATAGAATTGGTAGGTAGTGGGGATACTCATAATAGGAATACTTATGACAGAGTGTTCAGCCAAGTTTTTGTACAAGAAATGTTGCTTCACAAACCTCAACACTCCTTGAAGGAGCCAATGACGGTTTGCTGTTCTCCTTTTTAACAAGGGCTTGACCCAAAGACTGTCAAAGCTACTGAGCTATCATGGATAGAAAAAAGTTTGCAACATATGATCTTAAGATGGGTAAACAACTAGTTAACAATGGGGGGAAAATAAAAATGCAGAAATAAATTAAAAATTGTTATGAAATTATCAGGATTCATAGTAAAGGAGGATTGTTGTTTCTGCTATTCAATGTGCTTATCCAGAAGATGTGATTTGGAAAAGGTGTTGGTGGAAGAAGAAAGCAAGTGAGGAACAGAAATTAATGCAAAGTGGAGATGAAATAGAAAAATAAGAAGCAACAGCTTCCTTGAGTGTAAATGACAAAACCACCAATTCAATGTTGATAAGTGCAGAATGAGGCATATAGAGAGAGGAAACCCCAACTCTGCAACTCTGTATGTGTGTTTCAGCTATAAATTAATTAGTATTTACTATAGGTAATTCTACAGAAACTACTGCTCAGTCCTCAAGGAGGTTCAAAAATAAAAGTACAACTTAAACATCTATTCAGAAAGGCTTGGAAGATGAAACAGAAAGTGTCATTACACTATTTTATAGATTTCTGGTGTACCTGACACTTGAGCAGCGTGCAGTGCTCATTCTCTCCTCGGGTTACAACAAAGAAAGATATAGTGAAGAGCAGCGAGGAAGATATAAAGTAGAACAGGTTTGCCTCTGAGGAGAGTAAAAACAGGACTGGAAATGGTCAACTGAGGTAGTAAGTAAACCACCAGGGGCTTCCAGGAAGAGGGCAGAGAGCTATTTGCCACTGTTTCTCAAAGTGCAAAATCTGAGGGCAAGAGCAACTTTTTCAGAAGGGCCACATTCAATTGTGAAACTCAGACCCATGGGACATTATGCATCAAAAGAACACATGAGATCAAACTCGACTAAATTAATGCCATAGAAAACAATCAGTATTATTTAACATTCAACAGAGTTTGAGCAATTTTAATGCTGTGCTACGTGTTCTTCTTCCAACAAGTGAAGCAAGAGGACTCTTTATACTCCAGCCTTCCACCTGCATCCTCCTGATAGGTCACACTATGACAGGAGGACTGTACTTCTCAGTACTGCTAGACAACAAAAAACTTTCCCTTGCTGTCTGAAACAGGAGTTATTGTTTTACCTGTGGTAGGCAGAAAATTGCTATTTTAGTACTAAGTGGGCATATGCTGCAATAATAAGGCTATTGAGAACATTTCTAACAAAATGTCCATTACAGTGTTTAGTTAAATCATACACTTCCTTTTATTCAAAACTGCAGCTGCTGTACAATATAGTATGACCTGTGCAATGGTTGCACAATATCCTCCATCGGCCTGGGAGGAGCATCATTCCAAAAGATGCCTCTTTAACTCTTCTGCTATTTCCTATTCCAGCTCTGGGAAATATGTTGAATCTTCTTCATCCTTTCCCTCTCATCAAGCACTTTACATCTCACTTGATGTTCCTCCAATTTCTTGTCAAAGGCAGGGAAATAGTCTCCTGAGCTGTGAGTGGGCCTCCTGAGGTGATGCAGCTGAGATTTGATGGCTGATGGTGACAAAGGAAAAACAACAATGGTTACCATGCCTAGCTTTCACTCACTAGTAGGTAAGAAATCAATTCCTCAGAAGCTGTGTCCATCCTATTCAGCACAGCCTGCATATGCAAAAGAGGCTTTCTCAGCCTAAAAGTTGGGATTGTTTTGGGTTAGAAAAAAAAATACAAATCATAAGTATAGATGTAAAACTCTAAAATGAAACATAGGCATTTTCAAAATTGAAATTTGGGCAATTAAACAGTTTGGAATAATGGATCTTGAAATCATCCCAGCAGACTACATCAATACAATTGAATCCCAAGGAACATTCTCAAGGTTAGGAAACAACAATTTAGACAGTAGATAAAGTGTCATAAGTAAATGAAGAAGCAACTTTATACTTACCTATCTAACTGTATATAGCTTAACACCTCACTGTACCCAAAATATCTAGGTGATTTCAAAACAATTAATCTGGATAGAGATCATGTTTCCCAGAATTCAGGAACAAGTGGATCTGATGCATTTTGTCTGATTTTCCAGCAAACTACAGGCCGTTGTGAAAGTCAGAAGTGGAATACATATGAATCTGACCATTCTCAACTTCTTGACTCTGTTATTTGAATGTATGTCTTGCTTTCTTACCTCTTTACATAGGTAGACTAAAAAATTAAACATGACCATGATCAAAATGCTTTCATCTTATGCTTAGTTATTATTTTCAAAATATCCAATTCAATAATTAGTATGATAAGCATTTTAAAAGAAAAGTCATCACTCTCACCATGAATCCTAAGTGAGAAAGATTCCCCTGTGTGAGCTAGCTAACATCAAATGCTAGAACAGTCACACTCCAATCTTGTTAAGATCCTTGAATGATTAATTATGCTCCAAAATATCTTGGGAAATAAAAAACTACAGATTTCATAAACTTTAGAAAGACACATCTGGATTTCTTCATTGTCACAATCCTTCCTATTTTCAACCAGATTAAATTCACATTCATTAAAAGGTTGAAAAATATCCAGATGAATTACTGTTCTTTGAGGCACATTCACTTTCCATATTTATTCCATTTTTTGTACTCAGCATGGATTCAGCCAAACTGTTATTAAATTTTCCCTTGCTCAGAGTGGGGAAATGTTTATTGATACCTGGAATTTTATTTGAGTTGTTGCCAGAAGAGATAACTTTGCTAATAGTCTTAAGAGGTTTATCCAGAATAGTATCAGTAGTATTTATCATCTTTATACAGGAGTAGATAAAGGGGATTCATGGCATTTAAATTCTTAAAACTTTAGTGACTCAAAGTGATGGGCAGAAGACTTTCTCTTAGGACTCTAGAGTTCTGTTCCCAGATTGCTTACTGACTTCTTGTGTGACCTGGACTACAACATTCACTCCAGTTTCTCTGCATGTAAAATGGGAATAAAAATGACAATACTTAACTCTCAGGGTTTTTATATGGGGTCATATATCATAACTTCAATAAGTTATGATTCTCAGGACCTTCACAGGAGAAGTGATAGTTTGTTTAATTTAGGGAAAATAATTATTTTTTAAGATCATGGCTATCATCAAGGCAATGAAAGCAGAGAATAGGTATTTGGTAGCACACTGTTGGTAGTGTCAGTGTACCACCAACAATGCCAGTGTAGACTACAATAGTTACACAAATAGCATCATGCAGATAGACTATCTGTGTGTTGTCCAAATTCAGCAAGCAGGCTAAGAGTGCCTAAGCTGCTCTGTTTACTCTGACTGGCAGGATGTGCAACTGTTATAGTTTAGCTAAATGAAGAAGATTTTGCCGAATGTTTTCATATCATCATGATGTTTTGGACAGTCCCCTAACCCGCCATGGGGATGGGAAGGGCAGGTGGGCAGAGGTCCCTTCAGAAGATATCACAAGAGCTTGGGAAGCATAAAACGGCTGGTGCAACCAGATCTCGCTGGTTCCCATAGAGGGGTGTGAAAGTAGGAGCATGGTCAGGCTGCTCTCTCTCACCATGGCTTTTGGCTCTGGCAGTTTCCTCGCTGCTGACCAGATCCTGCCATTCCCCACTGCTTGGAGCCCCGTTGATGCTCACCCCGTGCTCCCTGCTGTTGCTCACCACTGATGTTGCTGCTGTCACTACCATCTCAGGGTAAGCCCTGCTCGCAGCTGCCGTTGCTGCCCACCACTGCAGCCCACGACCACTGTTCACCCCACACTCCCTGCTGCTGCTCACCACCATTGCTCAGCCTGCACCTCCAGCGGCAGCGTTCCTCCACACGTCAGTACTCCCTGACACCCTCACTCCATTGGGACTGCATTGCTGTCTCGGTGCCACAGTACTGAAAGAGTGGTTTTTAAGGTGACATTTTCTTATTATTGTTTGGGTTTGTTCTGTTTTGTTCTCCATCTTTATTAATACTGTTATTAATTTTTCATACTTCACTCAAACACTTTGTAATTTCAAAAATTTTCTTGATTTGGGGAAGAGGGGTTTTGATTCCATTGGAGGTCCCCCCCCGGGACATATTGTCAGTAAACCAAGAGAACAACCTGCCATCTTAAAAATCAGCAGCTGGGCAAACCTCAGATTTGGCTAGGGTAGCATCCACACTAGAGAAAGTATTTCCTCTTAACTTTCTTTGATACAACTCTTTCTTTGATTCTTTAAAGAGAGGTCAGGACTCTCTCTTGACACTTGGTATAAACACCTGGCCCCATGTCAACATCGTACTTTGATTTGCACAGTAGACAAAAAAATGAATGCCAGAGCTGCTGCTTAGTAGACTACTGCAAATTGGAAATGAGCTGCTGGGAAAAATCTTTCTCCCTTTTGCAGCCTTGTCAATAAAGAAGGTTTTCTGCTGTAACTATTAGAAAGATCTGCAGAACACAGGATCAGGAGAACCAAGACTGTTCCATTAGAGTCACTCAAGAAATGGTCTAAACCTGGGGAGACTCAGTCTCCTAAGAGTGTTAAGAAAATCTGTGTTTATACAAAATTCACTTTTCTACAATGAGACATCTCAATGAAAGTCCTAAGACATATACTTCTTGGTCAGTCCCTGTGACACTGAAGAGCTCTCCAGCCTCATCTCCTGTGGAGAAAGGAGCAGAAGCTCTAAGAAATGGGATGCAGAGATGTTACCAGGGGTCCAAGTGGTTTGGGGCACTCAGTGGTGTCCTGACAGTCTTCCCCTCAAGGGCATGTTGCCACTCTCAGAAGCCCTGAGATGGCTCCAGACTGGGGGAGAACAGGTCTTGGGCATCTCTTGGGAGATGTGATCAGCCTGTGGGATGATGTGGAAGTGAGTTTTGCTCACATGCTCAGGGAATAGCCTATCATCAGTGCTGGGATCAGGAAAGAACTTTACACCAGGGCAGACTGACAGTCATTGCTTGTTTGTTTTTTTTTGATTCTTCTGCAGCATTGAGCATGACCACTGCTCAGGCTCTTCCAGTCCCTTTTGGCAAGGATGCTGCCTGCTGCTCATGCACCACAAAGATGGCCTTTCATGCTGCACATCCATACTTCTTTTTTTTCTTCTTCTGTGTGGTTGTTCCTGATTCTAATTCTTCATGTTCTCTTCAGGAAACATATTTTCTTGGCCTGTATTTCTTCTGCTGCTCTCTGCAGCTTTGTCAGATTGACGGATTGCAAAGGAATTTTTTCAAACTAAACTGAGACATATCAGCATGCTCAGCTCTTCACGTTTGTGGAGTGGTTCTGAAATGGATTTAGAAGAATAAGAATTAAATAAAACCAAAAATAAAATCCCAATTCTGGTGGTTGCTTTTGTGTTATGTGTCCTTGGAAGTGGTTTTGATGATTAAAAGATCATGGAATTTCAGGCAAATTAAACTGTTATTCATTATTCAAGTCATGGTGCACACAGGGAACAGGAACAGGAATAGGATAGAATACAGTATGTTACTCCTAGAGTTCTGCATAACAAGCTATGACCTAGGTCTGAGGGGTCCATCTCAGAGAGCAGGTCTCTGCAGTGCAGATCCCAAGCCCACCCAGGAAATGGGGGCAGACATGGACCTATGATGGAGGTGACTGTATGGAGGATGAATCCTACCTGCTGTGGAAGAGTTTCTTGAGGAGAAGAGCAGTGACCCTGCCTTTGTCTAATGGACTGTCTGCAGGGACTGTTTGGCTAAAACCTATAGTTAAGTTGATACCATTGTTTCAGGACATGTTCAGGCATGTTCCCTTGTGTTGCTGTAAAGTTTCCTCCTAATTGGACAACACTACTGCAATGTATGTGTCCTACCCAATCATACCCCTTCCAAGTTACCCTATGGTCATGTAACCACCTCCCTGTTACATATTCATATTAACCCCACCTGGTTTTACATATCCACTCCCTTTTTCCAGAACCCTCCTCAGCCTGCCCTATAAAAACCCCCCCATTTTGAATAAAGGGAGATCTGCCCAGATCTGCCCAGGATCTGCTTCCCTGTGCATTGAACTCCGCAGGTCTCGTGTCTTTATTCCCGAACCGTGGCAGGCCTATGTACAGCATGGCTCAGGCAGGGACTAAAGGACCCAGGCTGAGCTGGAACACATCCCCTGGGCCCTAGACAGGAGATGGTGGGGTTGAGGATCCTACAGAAGGCTGATCCCAGACACTGAGGCCATGTGAGCTCTCCCAGGACTCTGACAGAAGTAGACCTCCAAATGTTTCCAAGACACAGAAATAAAAATATAGTCAATATATAAAATATATATAAAAACATAGTGATTGCAAATAATAATGACCTGGGTACATCAATGACCCTAATGTGCTTTCTCACCATACAAAGTCCAGTTTCCTTGGAGAAATGCTTAGTTCATCCTCTTTGTACTGAGAAAAAAGAGTCATTCCAGGAGGCAGCATATGTGCCCATGGCACCTGAGTTCCCTGTGGTGCTGTGAGATGCTGCCAGAGGACTCTGGTTTCAGCAACAGTCAAGTCCAGGTAGGAACATTGTCAGGGCTCTTCCTGCACTCAGCTACCCAAGCTCATTAAATTTTCCCAGCTTTGTGACCTTGGGTGACTCTTCCTCTTGCACACTTTAAATTGACAAGGTACAGATTCAATAGACAGCAGTGAGGTAGACTGAATAACCTGCTGGCAAAGGATGGATGGGATCATGCACACAGATGCCTTTTCTGGTCAGCCTCACCCTTTTAGAAGTGATATTAAAGACAATGTGATAAAGCTTCTCCTTTTTATTCAAGATGCTGAGTGCAATTTGCATTAAAAACGTAAGAAAAGAACATTTTCTCAATTAGAAAATTGTGCGTGTACATTTACGGCAGACTGTTAGTGGCTTTTCCAGCAAAACCAACCCCTCCTAAACAAGATCTACATAGAGCATAGAGGAAAAAACACCATAATGGCTGTAAACAAAACATGTCACTGTCACTGGACTACATACATGGAAAACATTGTATTATTACCAACTCCCCATCACATACTGTAAATAACCACACAAAAAGGGTTGATTTTGCTGTGTAAGGCATGGTAACAGGGCATGGGTAGGAAGGTACCAGTGTTAAAATAGTTAAATAAAAATCCCCCACTGAGTCCCTAAGCCAACTGGTGCCAAAACTTATACTGAATTGGGAAGTGTCTAACAAAGAGAGATTCAAAACACAGCTAGTCATTTCTGTAGAGTGCCAGACAGAGGGCACCTTCCTGTAATTCAACATGATATTGTCACAGTGAATATTGCTTGGAAGCAAGGCTTGACTGGCAAAAAATACACAGAGTCTTTTTGCAAAAAGGGACAGTATTAGATTGATTGCTCCCCTGTTTTGAAGGTGGATCCTCCCTACTTCTCTTTTTCTAATTATAACAGTTAACAGATCTCTAGATCAGATAGGTTTAAAGGGGAGTAAATGTTATCATTCCCAAACAAATGAGGAAACTGGGCACACAAGAAGAATTTGATCAAGATCATTTAGCAAGTCAGCAAAAATGAAGGGACTGTACTTGGTAGCTTATGCCAAAACCTTCTCTTCTGCATTTACATTCTCTCCCTGGTTATTATAATGGTGGTCTGAAGGCTCAGAAGTACCACACATAAGGGATGCACTGTTTGTTGTTTGTAGGTACTCATTAATGGATCAGTGGATTAGAGGTGATATTGACTTGGAGAAATGGATGAAAAGCCCTGTGTAAGCATTGTTTATTAAAAAGCCCAATAGACCAATGCAAATATTCTAGAATGTATAAAATTTGAGCTAAGTTTTATGATTAGTTTACATTAGATGAATTATAGTGACATACTTCATTCCACAATTTTTCCTTAAAACAATTTTTTTCTCCAAAAGTCAAGACCCTTCCAAGATCTCTGTAAAGAGCAAGACCTCTGAATGCCACCTTCAAGAAAATCCTGAGTGAAGCTCTTTAGAAACATGCTCTGCCTAAGCTTTAACTTTACCCTTTGCAAAGGTTACCAGTGGTGGATGGACAAGGCGGATCATGATGCTTTTGGTGTTGAAGAATGCTGAGACCAGCCTGACTCAACAATCCCAAAGCTAAATATTCAAACAGTGTTTCCTGACAGAAACTGGCACAAGTGAGGATGTGGCAGACAAAGTTCCTGATATCTAACCAACAACTGGATAGTACCAAAAACTTGTTTAAAGCTGCTGAGCTAAAGGCTGCATAGCTGACGCAGCTAGCCTAAAAACATATGATCAACAGTCAATCACTTTATATTAATAAAGTCCAGTTGCACTTTTTAACAGCAAGGACCTATGATATACCCCTTCTAGGAGTGTGTTTGTAGATTCCTCCCTTGAGAGGGGATGCTCCTCAAGATTAATCCTTGAGACTGAGCAAAAGAGATTTGCCCATGGTTGTTGGTATGGGTGAGTAACATCATTATCTACTTAATAATTATTTTGCTAGCTTTAATATCATTGCTTCAAGATTGCTTCAATAAGTAAGGGGGGGGCTTGGGGAATTTTCTTCTCACTGGCTAGCTTAAGCCAGTTTTATTAGTGTTGTTATGGGTAAAGAGTTATTTTTTCCCCTACATCTGTGTGTATTTGGTCTCTCTCTATATTGCAGAGAACCAGGGGCACTGAATCTGAGGAAGTGGACTTCCATCCCAGGTCTTCACCCCTCCAAATTGTCTCAAACGGAGACACTGTGAAAGAGCATGACACCATGAACAACTTGGAGAACTGAAACAGCACAGAAACATGCTACTGTGCATTGGCATCTATATATGGAGCTACACTGTACCTCATCTGCTGGCACAACAGCTACTGATGAAAATATCTTTAGTAAAACTTGTAAGTGCTTTGCCTGAAGTCTAGGCTCTTTTATTGGTTATTTCTTGTTGACTTCCAGCAAATTTACACTCTCTTTCACCTACTGTGAATTATACACACATTCACACTAAGCCATTATTTTGTGTAACTGCTTCATATTACCCTCCCTTTCTTCTGATATTTGTGTGGGACAAAAATTGATTAAGAAAATTGTTATTTTCTTAATATGGTGGTGAAATAGAGATAGCAGGATTTGGTAGATGGGAGAAGCACAAAAAGACCTATATTTGGGTCCACAAAACAGCCTTATTTTATCCCTTCAATATCTCTGTCTATAGGATAAAAACTCATATTAATTTGCCACATGAAGTAAAACAATTTGTGAAGCCTGTTCTGCAAGACAAAAAAAAAAAAATCAGGTATTTAAAAAAGTGGAATGTAGTAAAGATCACTAAAAACAATAATTCATTTGTTCAAACCCAGTGAATGGGTTTAACTTCTTAAATGTGTGTCATAGTTCCGATTTTAGCAAGGAATTTTTCTTTCCCTTCCCCCTGCCCTCTGTGTGCTCTGTGTATGGGCCATCAGGTGAACAAAAGAAGACGCCTGGTCCAGTAATGGCCGAGAGATTAGTCTCCTTGACAACGAAGGGGGAGGAGTTGGGAGGGGGGGCTAGTGTGTGGCTGGAAGGAGGTGGAGAGGAGAGGCTGGTGTGTGCCGGTGGACTCAGGACCTGCTGCAAACTGCAGAGCTGCCTGGTTTCTTCTTTCTTCCTGTCGGAGAGGAGTTTGCTGCTGCTCTCTTCTCAGCTGTTGCTGGCTGCAGGCCCTGCTTAAAGCTAATCCTAACCAGCTGAAGTTTGTGAGTTTTCTTCCATTGGGAGAACTTTCTGTTTTATTGCTGGTTTTTTTTCCTTCCCCCTTCTCCCCCCCCCTTTTTCCAGTGTGGGAAGGGAAGGGGAATCGAGGTTTTTTGTTTGTTTTTTTCTCCGATATACCCTGGGGGTTGTTGTTTTTTCCCCTTCCCCCAAGCCACCTGGCGGCAACCAAGGATCTCACAGTGCTGCCTGGTGACTACTATAGGACACTACAAGTTCTGCACCTCCAGTGACCCAACACCTGGTGAATGGTACAGGACATTATAAGTTTTGCATCTCCAGTGACCCGATGGCGCCCCCTGCTGACTGTGGTTGGAACTGTACCAAAGGGTGCAAGAAATTGAACTATTTAATTTTCCTTTTGCCGGTTTATCGGTTTTGTTCTTGAAGGGGATTATTGGTGGGTATAGGAGTATTGCCTGCTTGATTCACTTGGTTTTTTTCGTGTTCCTGTTAATACACACATACCTTTTAATAAAGGGCTGTTATTTTCCCTTTTCCATAATTTGTTTTCCTTCAGTCTGAGCCTCTTAATTTTGGATTTATAATTGCTTAGGAAGAGAAGTTTGGGTCTTTTTCTCCTAATCCATCCTCAGCAAAAGACCCTTGTCTCATTTAAACTGGGACAATGTGTAAAAGTCATACCACACATGAAGAAGTCCTCTGTTTATATCCATCTCCCAAATAGTAGGCACTGTGAGTAACAATTTCTAAAGCTGCATTGTATAACGAAATTAGAGTGAGGCAGTACTGACTGACCTGGCAATGTAAGGTGGTTTGGCGAGGAACTCAAGCCTGATAAGTCAGCTGAACATTGCACTGGACCTTTAAAAAGAAAGAGTAGTTTCAGCAGAGATGGATAAATGGTATTCCCATTAACAATGAAAATGCTTTTTGTAGTGCTGCCCCTACTACTAAGGGTTTGTTGTCTTTTTTCTGCCATTTCTTACTCATAGTTCTAGGTGAGATTAACTGGGAAAGTAGTCTCACTTCTGGGGCCCTTTCAATCTAAAGGAATCAATTTCAAATATTCATATCACCAGGTTTGGGCAGAGATACCCAATTTATTGATCCTGGAAGTTTCATGTTCTTAAGTTTTGGATCTATGAACTGTTGACAGATCTCAGACTGCTTTCCCTTCAGCTATGTCTGTGTCCTCACAGAACTGGCAATTGACAGTTTTACTGTCAATTGTCCTGCATGGTTCTGAAGGCACACAACATTTACATTGCTCCTGTGGAGGTTCAGCAAGTGGCTGACATCACCTTTGGGGATGGCTCTGGAGATTTATGTCATGGTCAGAGAAAGAACTCTGATATTGAATTTGCAAGTGGAGGTTAATCATCCAAATCAGCAGATGCCTTCTCCAAATCATCTTTTCTCCCTCCTTGCTTATGTAACAGCATTTTTTATCACAGTCAACTACACAAACACCCTCAACATCTAACAGAAATTGGCAGCTTAGCTTCATCTCTACTTGCACTAGACTGGAGGTACCAAGCCAGTAAGGTATGAGAATACAAGCAGCTACAGTGACAAGCACACGGGATGTTCTTAAGTGTACCTCCCTGAGAGGAAAGGAGTTTATTAGAAGTAGAATTTTGGGCCAAAGGAATGCACAAAGCCTTTCATGCCTGTAATGAACATCTCTGAGAGAATGGCTTGGTTTCTGACATTCTTTATCATGACTTTTATCACATTTGGGGTTTTCTTAAAGGAAAAGATCAAACAGATAAACAGCAGTGCTACACAAAAATTCTGGTTATTACTTATGTGTTGTGATGACTCCTGCACAGGCACCACCCACGTCTACAAGTGGATTAAGTTACTTTCTAGAAGGTGCTATGTAGAGATGTAACGTAATGGTGCAAAAGGAGATCTATAAGTAAAACTGTAGCGCAGGACACCAGCTCTGTGAGATTGATAGTCATGTTTCAAGTGGCACATTTAAAAAGAACCAAATGAGCAAGTATTTCAGTGGGCATGAGTGTGGTGTGTTGTTCTTTATTTAAGTACTCTTACGGCTTGTGATTTGAGTCAAAAGAGAAAAGTGGAAAGGTGAGATTTACCTTGGGGTCCTTAAATAAGCCAGTTGAATTCTCTACCTCAATTCCCTTATCTTTAGAAATCAGGTAATGACACTAACCCCTCCTCAAGTTAAGTGAGGGCAAGTGGTAAGAAATAACTGCTGTCTAAACAAGGTTCCCGCTATGCTTAAAAAAAAAAAAAAAAGGGGAGCTGAATGATGAAAAGTAAACAGCAAGTACCACGCCTGGATCAGATGTAGAAAGAACCAGACAAAATTAGCCCATCTACAACTTTAATTCAAATGAGTGCAGACCTCACTGTTTTTATTTGGTAATAGGATGAATATACATGGACTCAGTTACAGAAAAACTGGAAATGTTGAAAATTTTTTTAGAGACTGCAAGCCTCTTCTTTCAAATCAAGAACTAACAATAAATACAAATTGTTTAAAATCAATCTCAGAACAATTGAGAATACTTGTCACTGCATGGTATCATTAATTTTGTTTTCCCATTTTTTTCCCTTATGAGTCTTAAAAAGCCAAATAGGTTTTTTTCATTACCCTACTCACCCAGTCCCAAGAGCAAACTTGCACTGAATTTTGCTGTCAGCATGTATTTTAGTTTGTTTTCTATGTCCTGGGGGAAAATAGCATACCTGCCTTTTTCTTCCTTGAAAAATGCTAGAGAACAAGCGTCTGTTGTTTATTTTAATTCAGTTCAAGAAAGACATCTCCATTATCAGTTCTGCTAACATAAACATACTCTAAACTTCATACATATAACTTCATACATAGAATTTCCTGCAAAATGCCAAGCAAGAAAATGTTATTTTAATAAGACCAAGATCCTTGAATTTGGTTAATTTCCCCTTATCCTTCCTACCAAGAGGTTTACTATTCCTTAACTTTATTTAGAAGCTGTTACTGTAGGGTTAAAACCACAAAAGCTATGAAATCTACTGTCACAGATAAGCCACAGTGTCCACCCTTCCTTCCTGATGAAGGTAGACAGTGCACTATGGAATGACTTTGAAGGGCCTACAAGGAGTAGCATCATCAGAACAAAGACAGTCTCCCATTTATGAAATTCATGGTGGTTAAACTCCTAAAACAGCAAAGGAAGATGGCCCCACCCTCATGTACTGGCTTTACAGATAACACCCCGTGTGTGGTGAGCTGTATATGTTCTGGTTGTTTAGCCTTTACCTCCAGATGCTGAAGTGGGACCAGCAGACCTTTCATGCAATTTCCTTTGATTTCAGTGCAACTAAAAGGGTGGTCAGGCCCTAGGCGTCATTTTGCTCTAAGCTGATGTTGCAAATGCAATGACTTTTTTCTATTGGGTAAGAATAGGGAGGAGAAGAGGGTAGCAAAATATTCCTGTGAGAATCTGAGCCTGTAAACCAGAACGACCTGGTAAAAAAACCAACCAGAAGTTTACAATAAAAATAGTAAAGATTTTAAAAAATTGTATATAAAAATGTATAAAAATACCATCCAAGCAAGAAGGAAATCAAATGCTCCTCTGACATTCTACTGCTAGATTTTTTCACTAGAAAACCCCATAGATTCACTCCTACAACCACCAACAAAGACAATGGGATTATGTATATTTTTCCTACCACTGGACAGCATCTAAACCCAGGGTGTTGTAAGTACCTATACATAGGTGTTTAAGAATAAAATAATACAAAATGCCAAGATTGTGCAATGAGGCTTGTGAGAAAACACTGTTTTGCACTTAAGTATAAGGGTAAATAAATTCACTAAAACTGAGTTTCAAGTCCTCAGCTACCTTGCTTGGAAGTAGCTCTGTTTCCTTTTACCTGGTGGTCAAGTCCCCAGAGCAGGAAGAGCTGATGCCTCAAAGACAGGCCTACATCCTGGTCTTGCTTGGGTAAAGAGCAGAACTCTCTGTGCTTGCTAGAGGCCAAAAGAGATGTCGCAGCAACAGGAAGGCAGCCTCAGCAAGTGAAAATGTACAGACAGCATTTAATTTTAACTGAAAATAATGGCATTGGCAGTGGTACCTGTGCTGCTCCTGCTTTGATCACAGTAATCAGACAGGAAAAAAGATATTTGGGATCACAAACTTGTCTATCCATGGAAGCAGGAGAAGCACCATATTAGGATGCACAACTGACACTAAACTGAGACTGACTGAGCAAACCTGCTCATGTTGTAGGTAACACAAGTGGGAAAAACCTCTGTACCCACTTCAGAGAGAGAAGAATTTATGTCTTAAAATGTGAAAGCACAGGGTTTTTTTCCTCTATTCTATCTGACCAGCACTGATGTCGACTCCCCAAAGTGATTTGTGTGGAGTCAGTGCCACAGGGTTCCTTCTCTTCCTCAGCCAGCATGTTCCTGCTTTTAAATGCTGATGTTCAGACACTGTGCCAGCACAGCTCTGAGATCACACTGGTTCGACACATGTGAAAGCACAGCATCATTCTGTTTTTAATTAGGTGAGGATTAAAAAAGTGTAAGAGTCAGTTCTGCTGTCATTTGCTGAGTATAAATGGCTACAATACAGTATGGATCATCAGAGGATGAGGAGTTTCATTATTTTAAAATAAAATATTAAGGAAAAGGAGACAATAAGAAATATTTAAGAACATCTTGCAAGTTCCTGGAAATATACTAGTTTATTCTAGTTAAAGTAAAATAAGTACTGTACTTGTCAGGTTCTGTCTTTTCTAATTTGAATAGGCTACTGTGCTTTTTAATTAAAAGCCAGGTTTGGGAGCCACTGCAGAAATTGCAAGGACTAACAGCAAATTGAGGTGACCTTTAGTTAGGTGAGCTCACAGACCTCCTGATTACAAAGCAGCACAGCACTATCAGCTATCTAGTGAAGTGAAACAAGGCTTTAGAAGGGTTAATCAAGCATCTTACTGCAAAGACCCACTTTTCTTCCCCCCCCCCGTTTTCTACCTTACTCAAAGGAAATTTTGTTCTGCACAAATTCAGCAGACCTAAACCCAAAAAGAACATTGTACAAATTGCTCAGAGGTAGTAAATTATAGACAAATGAGCTAAGGTAGACATTTGAATAGGTAAAATAGGCCTGAAGCCAAGGCTTTCTTCAAGCTTCAGCAAATAGAACACGAAACAATGGAAAGTTCAGAAGTTCACCAGAGGTCACCGACGAAGAGGAGTAAAATTGAGACCCTCCGATGAAGTAAGACTGGATGTGCCACCAAATCATTCCCCAAAATGAAGACCATGCCTCAAAACCCGCCCCTGACTCCACCTGCTATGAATATTGTAATCTAATATGAATACGTAGTGAATATGTTGTAATCATAGTCAGAAACTGTATAAATTACCTACCTTTGCCTGGCCACTTCGGAGCTCTTTTTGCCTGGTCTGAGCCAGGGGGCTCTCTGACGTCACTTAATAATAAATACCTGCTCTTTAAAGGCATAAAACTCTGTCTCTAAGCAGTTTTTATCTGCCTTTTTGGGCATCACTAGTTTGAAATATACTTGTGTGTAAGACTGAGCTTCTAAGACTTTGCAAGTACATATGCTCAAAGAGTAGTTTGCAAAAACACCAGCATATTCTTGTCCAGCATAATCAACTACATTTTGGAAAGCTTCTCTTCAACCACAAAATTTATGCTTGAAAAAAAGAAACACCTAGAAAAAGGAATTTGCCTCCTTAATTCACCCTGGTTCATCAGGAACCAGGCTCACAAATGTCAGATTCATTCTGATGCTAAACATCCTACTGTATTAATAGGTAGTATGTTTACACCAGCTTGAGCTATACAAAAGGCTGCATTTTTAGA